ACGTCGGCAGCTAGAGGGGGGTCGCCACGCGTGCCCGACCCGGGACGGACCAGCTGGCCAGTCAAGTCGAGGAGCGTATCCTCCCTGCACATGTCAGCACTCTTGAGGCGGCGTGTAGAAGCTGCGAGACAGTCATCGAACACTGCCTGCGCACATTCAGATTCCTAGGAAAGGGACTCGAGCTCGCTCTCTTGGCCAAACAAATCGAGGTGAAGTTGTGCTTGGCCCATCCGGCGGCACAAGTTCAGGACGCCGGATGGCGAGATTGCCGAGTTGCAGCCATGGTCCGATGTCTGCGGCGAGAGCTCGCGGATCGAGTTGTCAGCCGTGAGTGGCGGGCGGCTGACTTGGAGATTCGAATTGGTGTGAAGAGGCGGGGGAAAGCCCATCGGATCATGCAGGTAGCGAGCGCAATCAAGCGAAGCTTCGAGGGACCACAATGCGTGGCATCAGAAAGCCGCTCGTGTACATAGCGCGTACCGCAGCGTGAAAGGGATGCCCCTATTTCAAATGTCCAAAAATGGCAGCCTGCAGCAGAATTAAAGCTCGATCGTCCTTTGCCTTAATACCCGCGCAGGCTAGCTGATGCAGCTGCACCGCACCGCTGCTGATGTGAGCACCACACCACACCTCGGCGTTCAAAAGAAGAAGTGACCTGACTTGCATGAGCATTCAGCAGCTATGCGCACAGCACGGCACGACCTTCAGACGCGCGACCGGGCGTCTTGCGTTTCAAATTACATCCTAAACGTTCGTGGATCAAATGGGGTGCGTCCCTTAGATCTGGCCCTGGCCCGTCAAGGACTATACAGCTAGGCGAGCTGTACACCTCACGAGTCTACGATCATCGACTTTTGACAGCATCAGCATGCAAAGACCTGCGACCTGCCGATCAATGCTTGACATGCGACTGCGTCCCATGCAGCTCCTTTAGCGCTTGTCGTCTTCACATGTGAGCCGAGCATGGTCCCTTGAAATTCTCGCTACGCGCAGCCTGCCCGCTTGCTGTTCACTAAACCTGTCAGAGTTGAGTCGTGAGTCGTGAATCGTGAATCCTGTACAAATCGGCGCTCACTCGGAAAGGTCGGTTGCGCGGCCAGATCGTGAAAGATGCTGGATGCCGTCAATCGCATGACGCCAAGGGGACGATCGACGCTTTCTCGATCTTTCGATTCGTCGATTCGGTGGTCGGGTGTCTCGCTCACTTGTGCGTGACTACCTGCTACTACTCTAGAATTTTCTGGCAGTCACGTGCGCAGCACTCCAGAAAGACGCGTCGCAGGTGGTGCTCCCGCAGAGCTTGCATGGCTCGTGCGGGAGCACCTTCTTGTGTGTGGAGTGATGCGCGTCGTCACCTTCATGTCTGCCCATGGGTTGTGCGGTACACCCACAAGTCCCTCACTCGCCTCTTGATATGTCTCGATCATCTGGTCTGTAATTTTCCATCAACACAACAATCCATTAGACCTGGGCAGATGCAGTGACAAGATGTCGACAGCAACGAAGAGCCCGCTCGTTCATGACGGCGCTGCCAGAGATGAGAGCGACGACATGATTGTGGACTCGACGAGTCAGCCCGCGTGGAGCAGCGAGCAATCATCTGCACCCAATGTGATCGAGATCCTCAAGGCTTTCTTCGCAGCGCAAGAGCAGCGCAGATCTCACTGGGCAGAGTTTGATGATGCATTGGCATCCATCACCTCCTCTGCGGATGCGGCGTCAAACAATGCTCAATCCGGCCGGCATCACTCTTCTTCTTCTTCTTCTGCCCAATCCGACGCACACGACTCGCCAGCAACTTCAGCAAGAGGCTGTCAAGCATGCAGTGCCCAGTCTCTTTCATCGCTCCCGCTCACAGAGGCAGACCTGCCAAGAATCCTCTCCCTCGTCACTGCCGGCCTTCTTGACGCCTCTCATCGCGTTCGGACGTGCTCTACGGAATTGCGCGCCAGGCAAGAAGAGGATCTCGCAACTTCAGTGGATCGCGTTCAGGATCTGGAGAATGATGTGCTAAGGAGCGTCGTGCGAAACGAGACCATCAGAAGGGACGGCCAGAGGGATCACCACGACGAAGTGCAGCAATGCTCAAACAGGATTCGCTCATGCAGAGAGGGGATTCAGGAGGCATGTGCAGAGATACGGGCTGAGCTGACCGAGCGGACACTCGAGACGGCAGAATAGATGAAGAGCATATGTGATTGCTCTAACGAGCTGTAAGCGAACGACGCGCTCAGGCTTCGTTGAGAAGCGAGGCTGCGACGAACGAGATAGAGGGAAGACAAAGGCAAGATGCGAAGCCAGGTGTATGCTGTTGAAAGACGGTGACGTTGGTTTGCTGCTGGTGTACATCTTGTTGTGGTGTGGAACATTGATCATCAAGGCGAAAGAGTGAGACCGACCGCGCATGCGCCCGTGAGCATGCCCGATGGTCGGACGGAAGGGAAAAAAGACAGGGACAGGAGGCGAGCCCTCTATTTCTTCTTACTTTCCTCAAACGCGTAATCGGCCACATCACCGCATTCACAAATGAGGTTCATATCGCCGTGGCTGCAAAGAAGCATCCTGTCAGCTGGAATGGTCCTTCGGGATGCTTCGATCCCAAGTGCCCATCCTACTCACGCGTCATCAAGGCGGCCAACGGAGGGCCAGAACTTTCTCTCGCGAGTTGCTCGCGAAGGGTACACCGCCAGCTGACGAGAATAAGGCCTGTCCCACTCTCCATCGCTCA